CGTGTAGGGGGGAAAAGCAACGGGCTTTACGTCGCCATGTCCATGGAGCTTCTCCATATCTCTTGCAATATTGAAACCCTGGCCCTGGTTTCTCCCCGTTTTCCATCCTTTTCATCTGGTTTCAACTCAACGCTCTTCGGTTCTCGTCGTGTAACTTTGTCCCCTGCCCACCTCGGCCGTCGCGCTGCTGCCGTGTCCGTCTCTGCGCAGCTCGGAAACCCAAACACTAACCCTAGTCCGTCTGCAAGTAATCATGACGGTCGTATCTCTCTCGCGCAGGGGTTCATCGCCGAGTTCCTCCAGCACGAAGTGGGACTCTCCGCGGCCGATTCGGAATCCATTTCCTCGAATTCGCCGAAGTACGCGCGGATGATTGTCGATAGCGTTAGGGATTTGGATGAGTGGAATTCGTGGAAGGGTAATGAAGACGCAGAGGGCTCAGAGGGCTTAGGGTTTAAGGAGAAGGTAATTTGCATGGTGAAGCAAAAGGGTGATGATGGGAAAGTTGCCTTCTTGGAGAGTCTTGGCCTGAGCTTGTCTTCTGCAATGTATTTGGCTCATTACCTCTCTTCAGAGTCGCTTCCAGTTCTTCTTTGTAAGGTATTTACTTCACTGATATGCTTTTGTATTGGGAAAACGGAATTTTTTCCGGGTCTTTGCTCATTTTGGTGTTGGCTTTGGATTTGGATTTGGATTTGGATTTTAGGTTAAGTACCTGAAGGAAATATTCTTTTCTGGCAGTGATGATGGAGGACTGGTTGGAAAATATGCGCGCCGAATGATGTTATACCTGTCCATTCGTATAGATGAAGATGTTCAGCAGACACTATCCTTCTTCGAAAAGGTTGGTTTTACAGGTTTTGGTTATAACTTTCATTGGATTTGTTGTTTCAAAGCTATAATCTTTGTACTTGTTCCCCGTCAAGTTCTAGTCATCTTGATGCCTTCTGGTAGGATGATTCTCTTAATATGTGTGCTATAGATTAAAGCAAGGCGAGGAGGTTTGGACATGCTGGGTTCTGAGGATGCTTCTTTTCGGTTTTTGATAGAGTCGTTCCCTCGTCTTCTTTTGCTGTCACAAGAAAGTGACATCAAACCAACAGTGGAATTTCTTGTGAGCATTGGAATTTCTAGAGATTGCTTGGGGAAGGTACTTCTCCTGTTCCCTCCTATCATGCTCGTCAAAACTAAGGAGATTAAAAGAAAGATAGCAGAAGATCTTGGAAAGGTACCTTCTTGTCCATGTCCAAGCAGTTTATATCTGCGCTTGTTATTATATCCATGAGGTTTGCAAGGAGCTGCAGTTTTATGTGCGGAACTGATTGCTGGCTATTGGGATCTGGATTTGAACTGGCTCAGGTCAATGTGGTCAATCAAGATTCTGGAAACATATTGCTAAAGTACCCATGGATTCTCTCAACGAGCATCCAAGAAAACTACCAACATATCGTCTCGTTTCTTGAGGGTGAAAGGGTAAGCACACTATCCAACTACTACATGTTAAGGCAGCTGAAATTCCAACCGTTTGTTGTGTACCGGAGAAATCGGATATTTCTTGCTACTCTCTTTGGTTCTTTAGTGGTCTTTGTAAAGTTAGATGATAGGAGAATTAGGTAATAGTATCGGCATGTCAACCCTTCTGCTACATTCCAAGTATTGCCTTTTCTCATCTCCTTGTCATCAAAATCTTCCATCCTTAAGATCATTCATGGTGCTCCTGGTCATTACTTGTAGCGGAAAGATGAAAACCTACCATTTTTTCCCGTTCTTCCTCGTTTATTTACAGTTCTTCCATTTCTTGTCAGTCACAATATAATACGGTTGCTTTGATTGTTGTCTTTAGGTTCCAAAGGTGGATATAGACCACGCGATTAGAAGATGGCCTTTGTTGCTTGGTTGCTCAACAAGTAATGTGAAAATCATGGTGAACGAGTTAGCAAAGTTAGATGTCAGAAATAAAAAACTGGGGAAGGTTATTTCCAAGGTGCCTCAGCTTTTGCTATGTAAGCCCCAAGAATTTCTCAAGGTAAAGGTCTCATCACCATCATCCCAATATACATACTCTCTCTCAGTAATGAATCTGCGTCAGCAGTCACATGGGGTTATTTAATTAAGAAATCGCTGCTGCAGGTTGTTTCCTTTGTAGGGGATCTTGGGTTTCAAAAGGAAACTGTGACACAGATACTTTGTCGATGTCCAGAAATATTTGGATGTAGCATCGAGAAAACCTTGCAGAGAAAGCTCGTATTTCTCACTCGCTTCGGTGTCTCAAAATCCCAGTTCCCTCGGATTATTAGGAAATACCCGGAATTCCTTATCTATGACACAGACAGAACCGTACTTCCTCGGTAACCATCTCTTACTTTCCTAGTTAACAGATTTCATTTTACTCTGTTATAAGGATAATCAAATAGATTCTTGAGAGCCAAAGCTCATTCCATTAAAATGGAGATATTAAAACGTTTCTGCAAAAGCAACAACTTGCATTGTCACAGTGAATCTGTACCAAGTTGTTTCTCTATCTTCTTGCAGGCTAAAGTATCTGATGGAGAAAGGGCTATCAGAGAAGGAGATTGCCTTCATGGTTCGCAAGTTTTCGCCGATTTTAGGGTATAGCATTGACAAGGTTCTGAAACCAAAGTTAGAATTCCTCGTGAACAGCATGAATAAGCCGGTCTCTGAGGTCGTAGATTACCCGAGGTATTTCAGCTACTCACTGGAGAAAAGGATAAAACCGAGGTTTTGGGTGCTCAAAGGGAAGAATATAGAAAGCACATTGCAAGAAATGTTGGGCAAAAACGATGAAGAGTTTGCTACTGATTTCATGGGCTTAGGAACTTTGTCACACCAGTCATCCAATGAACATGCAAGTTTATGATCTTTTCATGTAATCATGGTGGCTTCCTGATGAAAATTTAGGCATACTGTTCTTTTCTACGTCTGGAGGTAGGTGCTAAAGGCTTGTTCTTATGCCTGCTGCTTTTTTGTATGTACATGTATAGAAAACAAATTTTCCTGTCGATGTTCTTTATTATAGGCTACAGATTTTCTTCTTGTTTTTTGGATAAATTGAGAAATTATAAATTGCAAAGAAAACTATATATTATTACCTATATTTTATTTAATTTGGGCTATAAACTTATTGTTACCATATGTACTCAGGGGAGTGCCAAGGATTTCATTAAGCAGAAAATGTCCTCAAGAGTGTTAAATTAAAATATGGTTCTACAGAAATAGAGAGAGTAAACCCTGAAAAGCAAGATCCATCTAACATCCATCTCATTTATTCAGATGACATGAACATTGGTATCTAAAACAACTCCTCAACACCCCTCTCTCTCTCTCTCTCGATATATATATATATATATATGTAGATATATAGATATATATGCAAAAGACAGTCCAAGACAAGAGGGATAAGATACCAAGTAGCGAGGAGAAGGGATGTCTCTTGTTCAGAGGAAGACGGGGGCCATGACAAGAGTTATGGTCGCAAGCATTTTTATCAGCACGTGAAGTGACGGTCCTGCTGTGTCCTTGAAAGGATCTCCCACCCTGAATTCCATTTCAGGCCAGAAGACAGACAAAAGATGTTTTTTTTTCTTAATGTCAGAACGGGTGAAGAAGAACAAGAAGCAAACTGAAAAGATATACGAGAGGAGGATGCTTACGTGTCACCGGTGACAGCTGCTTTGTGTGATTCACTTCCTTTACCGCCTAAAGCTCCAGTCTCTATGTATTTCTTTGCATTGTCCCAAGCACCTCCTGCTGTGTTGAGGAACAGAGCCATCAAGATGCCACTTACCGTCGCGAACATGAGCATGGCTGCTACTACTTTAGCCCCGAGAAGAGGACGTCCAGTGTAATATCCCAAAATCCGGAATATAAAACCTGGAGAGAGATAATTTAACAAATCTCGTAATCTTTTCTTTGGATTCTTTTCAGTTTTCACCTTCTTGTTTCAAAAGATAGGACATTAACCAACTTACCAACTACGATTGGTGATACTATAGCCAAAGCTCCCGGCTTTATCATTTCCCTTAAAGCCGCAGATGCAACAATCCCGACACAACGACCGTAATCCGGCTTCTCCTTGTAGTCCTGTCACAAAAAGTTGGTAAACACAAGTTCACCAAAGTGTTATCATGTAAACAAAGGGGAGAAAAAAGACATTCAAGAGGAAGGAAATGCATTCTCACCATTATACCAGGCCTCTCAATAAATTGCCTTCTTACTTCGTTTACGACTTCCTGTGCAGTTCTACCAACTGCTGAGCAAGCCCATGCACTGAACAGGAAAATAAGCATGGAACCCAATAATCCACCGATGAAGACTTCAGGGATGGCGATATCAACCTGAGTCAATCATTAAGACGAGCGTGAAAATCTTGCTAGAACCAAAAAAAACACGATAATAGAATGTTGGATACAAGCTTAATTTTCCCAACCTCTTTGAAAGATTCATGAGCAAACGATGAAACTTCATCCATGTAAGCGCTAAAGAGAAGGAACGAAGCAAGAGCAGCAGATCCAATGGCAAACCCTTTCGTTGTTGCTTTTGTGGTGTTCCCAACAGCATCTAGAATATCAGTGATCTCACGAACACTTTCTGGCTGCATTAAGCCATTATACGTTAACTTTGCAAATTTCCTGTCTAAACATGTTTTAAAGAGATGCAAGAAAACAAGTGACATCTACCTGCTGGCTCATCTCCACAATTCCACCAGCATTATCAGCTATGGGGCCAAACATGTCCATGGTAAGGACATAAGCAGCAGTGCTTAGCATTCCCATTGTAGCTACGGCCGTGCCAAACAAACCTCCAGTAGGAGTTCCAGTTTCATCCACCAGTCCCGAGGTATTGCCCAACCAAAAAGCAGATATGATAGCCACACTTATAACCAGAACAGGAAGAGCCGTCGATTCCAGACCCAAGCTGACCCCAGCAATTATATTGGTTCCATGACCAGTGGAGCTAGCAAGAGCCAATGTCCGAACAGGCTCATGCTTGTAATCGGTATAATATTTGGATATCCAGACAAAAACATAAGCTGTAATGATGCCAACCAACCCGCACAATGCAAAATTCAACCAAGCTGATGGTGCTTGTTCAGTATACAGCAACCAACGTGTGGACTACAAAACACACGCAAAGCTGTCAGAAGCTATCAAAGAATGCGCTCAAACGTACAGAAATAACATTAGGGTTTCACTTGCTTAGAGGTGCCTTTATGTGCATGAGCGCATAGAGCTGATCACAAATAGTGAACATAATATAAATAGCAAGAGTCTGCGCATGGTAGATGACATTACCACACCAAATGTCAGAACGGCTAATATGATTGTCAGAGAATATCCTTTCTGAAGTACAACCATTGGATCTTCAATCGGAGATTTAACGCTAGCATCACGTGTTCCTTTGATAGAAAGAATGCCGACTGATGATATTATCAAGTCAAACGAATGAACAACTAGAGGGAATAGAATAAAGCCGGATGCATCTGCATGGTAGACAAGAGTACGCATAAGCCATCTAGAATCAGGAAAGAATACACAATGAACTTAAAAAATACATATCAAACAACTCAATCTTTCCC